AACCTTAAACCCTTTTCAACCAACATCAAGATAAACCTTTCATCAAGAAATCAATCAGTTTAAGTAGATTTCATATATTTTTCAAATTGATTTGCTCCACTTGTTTCCCAAGCCGATAAAATTAAATTGACAATCGAGTCAATCCCTTCACCATGTTTAACAGACGTAAAGATCGTTGCACCTCCATCTCTCATCTTATCTGAATCTTTTCTCATCACTTCTAATGAAGCTCCAACATATTCAGCTAAATCAATCTAAGTGATCCAAAGAAGAAAATTCACACGATATTATTATATTGGTTTGAGGTTTTGAAAAAGAGAGGAATGGTAAGATTTTTTGGGCGGGCATTAGAGTATTACTTACCTTGTTGATGACTAGTAAATCACTTTGACTTATTCCTGGTCCACCTTTTCCTGTTAAAGAACCAAAAAAATCGTCATCCAAAACCAATCAAATCAATCAATCAATCTCGAAGTCCGGTTTTGTTGAAGATGAGGAGATTGAACTCAACTTGGAATTTTATCACCACCAGCCACATCGATCACATAAATAATATAATCAGCCAATTCTCTCGAATAATTAGCTATACACACCCAATCCCCACCCATCCCACCAAAGGAAAACAAAGCAAATCAAAACCCGACTTTCAAAAAAGTGAACCATCTTTTCGTATGTTTTTTTTTCGTTTTTGACTTACCAGCTAAATTATCACCACCACTTTCAATCAATAACAAATCACACCCGAACCTAAGTTGTAAGTTTTCCAAAGCGTTTAAGTTTGCAGAAATATCTTCTCTAATAGCTGCATGTGGACAACCACCAGTTTCGATGGCGATGATTTGATTTGGGTTTTTTAATGCACCTTTGGAGTGTAAGAAATCTCGATCTTCTGGTATAAAGATATCATTGGTTAAAACCCTTTAACCAAAAAAAACAACAACATGAATTGGGGTAAGTTGAAGTTGGATTTGAGAAATGGAAAGGAGGTTTCTGGAATAAGTATAGTTTACCCTAGTTCGTATTTATCTCTTAGTTTTTCACATAAAGCTAATGTTAATGCAGTTTTACCAGATCCAACTGGTCTATGTACCAAACCAACATCCGATCCTCAATCAATTCTCAATTCTGTTTTTCGTTTGAAAACTGATGAGAATCTATTAGAAACCTTCAGCTTACCCACCAATTCCAATAGTAAAAGATCTTTCAATCCAATCTCTACCACTATAATTTGGTAAATCTCTTTCCGTAAACTTTCCAGGATGATTTAAATGTTCATGTGTATCTAAACCCCAAAAAAAAACCCAAAGAAAAAGTGATTCAGTAGGATTCAGTCTTAAATTTAGAATTTGAAAGAGTGTAGGAATCCACTCAAGACGACCATGATCGATTTGATGAGTATGTGAATGTTCATGAGAATGTGATTCGGTTGGATTAGGATTAGTTAAACCCTGGCTTGCTTTCTCGAATCTCATTGTTTTTGGTTTGGTAAATCGTTCAAATCGGTTTGCAGAAGAAACTTGATCGATGTCCTTCGATGACAGTCACTGATCTCAAAATCAAAGTCGTACGAAATAAAGTTTAATCCTGTCCAAACAAACCAATCTTATTTCATGCTTTTCGGTTTCTTTATTTTCCTTATACAGTACATACATACTTTTGTTTCTTGTTAATCCTCAGTTTTGTAGACGGGAAACGGACTAGACAAACTAGTGTTAGTTTATTCTAACGAAACAAACAACAAGATGTGACGATTGCATATAAAAGAAGAGAGAGAAATCTACCTAGACAAACTAGTGTTAGTTTATTCTAACGAAACAAACAACAAGATGTGACGAAAGAAAAAGCTAAACAAATGGTAGATGAAACACTTCTTATATATGAAACATGTTTCACTTGGCGTTACAACAATGACGCAATAGAGAATAGTGAAACCGGTCTAGTCTACAATGTTCCTAAACATTCCACCTGGTCTAACCGAAAGAAGGTGAGAATCGGCTTAGCCATAACCATAGCTTATGCCTTGCCAGCTTAGCCGTAACAAGTTTAGATCTACTGCATACAGTAGGACTCAGGAATGATCCAACAGACGGCTTTAATGAAAAAATCTTAGAAATGGTCAGAATTTGACATTTTGCTCAAAATGATTGGAATGTAGCTCAGTCGTGGACTTGTGAGCCGGAGGTGAGGTGGTGAGAGCATCCCCAGCGGTCTCCCGATTCTGCGAGCTCTCGACGATGTGGGGGGTCAAATCGCAAAAAACCGCTGCAGCGGAACTCGCATTAGGGGTTGGGCGAAAAACTGACCAACCAGTTTTCATTTGCAATTTAATCATAGTTCAAAATTTTGGGAATGATTATGAGCCATCGCTTTTGCAATATCAAAGCCACTCATAGCCATATGGAGCGTTTCTTGACCACGCCAAAGCCTTACCAATTCAAAACTCTTACAGGCAAAAGCAATCTATGCCACTAATCAAGCCACACCAGCGCCCCTTTTGCACCTTTCACAGATCCCTGGCCTGTTCCCTTCTGGCAAAAGCTTACCCGGGTACCGCCTAGGCTCTCTCGGTGCTCAGCTCAGATCCGTCTGGTGATTTGACCCCTAGACAAACAATTTTTCACCACTTTTAACTTTTTGGCCATGATGAATCCCAATCCCAATCAGCAGGGTTTCATCCCTCCACAAGGTGGGAGTTTTGGAATGGAGGGTTCTGAAGTAAGTGCACGCTCTCCTTTCCAAGCATATGATACTTACTTATGCGTTATTCATCATAGTCATGGAGTTCATTCAGCTCATCATCAGCTAACCCATCCGTGGATCCTTTTAATCATGATCGTGAGTCTCTCTGTTCCTTCAACCTTCCATGTTGTGTACTAAACACCTTTTTGTGTTTCTCCAATTTATGTAGGGTTTCATTCTCAAACGATGCCGCACTGGGTTCCGCAGCACCATATACCACCTCCTCGACCTGCTCGACCTCCAATTTGGCAAGATCCGATAGGCACAGCTGGCCAGACGTCCAGGGCAAGCTCTAGAGGATCTTCGAACGGTCCAGCTCTTTCTCGTCAGACATCCAGGGCAAGCTCAAGGGGATTAGCCACTGGTCTAGCTCATAATCAAGGTGCCTTTGGTAACATGTCGTAAGTTTTCTCATGGTGTATCCTTCAAATGGTCTCTGTATTAAGCCTGATTTTTCTGCTTCCTGTATGCGTGCGTTTTCCAGTGGGCCCAATTCTCTAGCCAACCCCACAAACGGAGCTGTTTCCGCTGAAAACAAGACAGTCATCACCTCACTTGATGACTGTCCGGACTTTTGGAATATGTCGGTGGCCGAGTTATACGACTGGCAACGCTTTGTAGACATACAGGACCAACATGCCCGCGACTTTTTCACAACTGCCTTGAAGAAGGCTGAGGATGACCTCGATCGGGATCAATCAAACACTCCCCCACCTCCCAGCTCTGCATCACAACGGGGCCGACGTCAACAAGGCCGAACCAGTTCAACCCCTGCTCCTGCAGCGGAAGGAGCAGAGAACAAACAGTTCAGATTCCGGAGACAACCTAGCCAACTGGATCTCATGTTCATGCGATGTTTAGAAGAGCTGAGCCCTTTTGGCACAGTCGGTCAAAAAGGGAAGATCTTCCTTGAGTGCGCTAAGATACTTAAAGTAAGTGTTTAATTATCACTTTTAACTACTTTGCACATTTAATTTTGACACATCGATCTGGACCTTCACATTAGAATGGCGAGGGTACTCGCCAATACTTCCACGAGCTTTCAGACAGTCCAAATAGTCGTGCACTGCAGACTCGATATACACAGCTCAAGACTTGGCTAGTTTCTGCCGAAGCTTGGAGTAAAATGGACTCTGGAACTAAAGAAGAGGATGCCGAGCTTCGCGAGCTGATACGTCAGGTGCAGAACGAGGAGGAGGTGAGTATCATTTCACTAGCTTTTACAAACACTTGACACACCTGACTTACCCCTGGTGATCCTTTGTATTTGACCAGAATGGCCGTGCTCTTCAACTGGCCAGCAAGGAAGAGCGTGACACAATCAAGAACCGGTCGCTATTGGCAGAGGATTATCGTCAACAATGTGCAGCTCGCGGGGCTGCACGCAGGCACTCAATCTCGGACTCAGAAGAAGAGACAAAGTCACCTAGTCGATCCGCGAAGAAGTCTCGCCGCTCAAATATCTCATCGAATGCAGACGAGATGCTAGATCAACTCAACAGCTTTACGGGCGAACTCGCTCGTATGAATGAAGCTAGCACAGCTCAAAACAACAAGATCAACGAACTTTACGAACGCGAGATCACAATTACTCAAACTCGAATTGAAAACGAGCGTCTCAACTCGGAATTGCTAGCTGCTCATCGACGTGCTGAGCTTGAATTGCAACAGAAACGATTTGACTTTGAATCACAGCAGACTGACACTTCCAATCAAAAATTTGAAGCCCTTGAGACAAAAATCAAGTCGATTGCCGAAGCTCAACAGCTCAACTCCGCAAACCTCGAGACCAAAATTTCCTCGATTGATCAGACATTAGCAACTATGATGCATCATTTGGTGGGAGGCTTACCTGCCAATAGTGGCCAATGAGTTGGCGTGCGATTTTGAGGACATTTGTGATGTTCAATCCGTGATCGATCAATCTGAACTTCTGAACAAGGCCTAACTTTAATGTTCTATCTGTGCTCAATCATCATAACCTGGTTTATAGTCATCATGTCTTCTAACAATAGACAACTCAATATGAATACGAAACTTACAAGCTTTTCAACTTCTGATCGAGTGAAATTATGGGTTACATTTTGATGTTCTATCCGTGATCGATCATTCTCAACTTCTGAACAAGTCCTAATTGTAATGTTCTAGCTGTGTTCGTGCATCATAGCCTGGTTTTAAGATATGTAGTCTTCATGTTTTGTAACCAAGAACAACTCGAAATGAAAAGTGCCTTTAATTGAGATTGGGTCTAATCCTGAACAAGTGTAAGATCAATGATCAAAGCGAGTTCAAGAACAAAGTCAAAAAAAAAGTTGACTTCATCTTGGATATGAAAGAGTCAAAGTTTACAAGCATCTCCGATTTGATTTTAATCAAATCGGAACCCCTTTTTGGCACATCTGGGTATACTATCAAGTCACCAATTCATGATGATACTCAAAGTCGGTCAAAACCTGTCTTTCATCTTGACATTTCTCCATTCTCCAAAAGGTCTATAGATGTTTAGATAAAAGGAAACAAGCTTGATTTCATGATCAAGAGTTCACCAAAAAAAAAGGTGGTCAAAGGCCCAGTGAGACTAATGACAAAGTTGACAAGAGGATAGTAGAGAATGAACAACTCAAATTTGAGATCGATGCAGTTCAAACCCGGACCAAGTATTCAGGTAGCAAAGGAGGAGGGAGGGGGGAGTTACCAGGGCCTCGCCCTACACAAATCAAACAGTTCTTGACTAAAACTGCAACATGATACAACTCATTTAACTCGTTTTTGTAAAACAAAAGGTTGTCTGTCTGAAGTCAGTTCCAGTCTACAAAAAGGAATCTGATTGAAAACACAATTACCTTCGTATTGTGTCAGTCTCAGGACATTGTGGACACGACCAAATTCATGCTCAACCCCAATACGGCACCTACTCATGGTTTTGTTGAATCGCATGTGATCTCGCGGCATGCGATCTGGATTGCCCGGAAATGGTGTCATGATTACATCATTGGCTGAATAACCTTTGTCGCCGTACAACATCATTTGGCGTCCGTCGTATCCCTTCGCATGTTGTCGTAGGGTTGACTCCAACTGGGAATCACGCAGCATCGCCTGGTCATGACGCGAGCCTACATATGCTTCACTGAGGTCAGCAGTGATTCCACTTAATTAGGAGAAATGTTGATCAGCCGAGTTATACAACTAAAGATTAGGTAATATCGAGGTGCTTACTCCGGTGTAGTAACTGCTTGGAACTTCAAGGCATGGCATCGTTTATGGCCATTGTAAAACAGAGCTTGGAAGTTTTTTGGGCGAGAGATTTTCCACACCGTCCCTATGAGCAACCACCAATAATCAGTATTCTAACGAAGCCTGGAATCAGACTTACTTTTGAAAAGACTTACCATCGATATAACCTACACAATTGTCCATCATACAACCCTTAGATTCCACCAGTGAAGCAGCATACTCCTCCAAGCGACGGGGGTGCAATCGATGTGGATTCCACTTGAGCAAATGGCCCCACTCGACCTTGATCCATCTTTGAGTATACCGTACGATCCGACCAATGATACTGCGATCGCGTCCAAAAACCTGCGCTAGATCGAAATGACGACTGGGCACAGCTAGACGTGCCAGGAGCATAGCGAGTGAAGTTAAGCCATGTTCAACACATCCATTGTCTAAAGTGATGAATTCCGGAAGTTGAAAGAGCTGGTGCATCTGGATGATCTCCATGGGCCAGAATCGAGTAGTCATATAGCACACGCCCGGCCGAGATCCGACGTCGCAATGCCTCCTCTGCTTCCTGACGCTCAAACCACAACTGAGTCACCACGTATGCAGCAAGCCAGTACAACGTCATCGGTATCCAATTCGCTTGGTCTGTAGGAGAACGATAGACACCCTTACGAGATAGTTGTTGAAAAGGCCTGTTCAAAAAAATAAAATCATCAGCTGTGGTCATCTGCTTGAGATGAATTCGACTGACATGAGTGTGCGGTTATGTTCTACTTGAAGAGTCTTTTGCAGCAAACTGGAAAGGAACACGGTAATCACAGATTGGGCAGGGCCGAGAAAGATCAGACCCGGGAGCTAAACTTGAGTACAACCTGGCAAAGCAATGGACCTGTGAAACCCAGAAAGCTTCATTTCGGCCATCTTCCACTTCTTTCGCCGGGGTTCTCGAGGGCGCAAAACTGGTTGGTCAGTTTTTCGCCCAACCCCTATTATCGGGAGTGAGACATCGAGAGTCTCCAGATTTCGAGGGGGGGGCTAACTTACAGCCGTTCTTGAAAAGGTTGCTTTTTTAAATTTTTTTTTGGCACTTAACGGCTGTTAGGGTTGGCTCTTTTTGGTTTTTGGCCGGCCCAAATTTCAAATTCCAATACGTCATCCAAACTTAACAAAGTCCCTCGCCAAAGGCCCGAGCCCCAGCGAGGGACTTACCCCATAAACTGGAATCCTGGCGTGAGAAGTGAGCTGTATTTGCTCCAAATTCTCTACATCTGTTTGTTTTTTTTCTCTCTCAACAAACATGTCTTGCAACAAAGAAAGAAGAAAAAGGCAAGGGACCATTACATATGTACCAATTGCAAACTCCTTTCTATCTTTTTGGGAAGTTATCTTTTTGAGTAGTTGAAGATCAATTATTTTGACCGCTTTCTGAGAAATACAGGCTTTGAGCCGGCTCGCCGCTGCTGAAAATTGAAAACAGACCCATTTTTGATTCCCCAGTAGCCCAAGTTCCAGACCAGATTTGGGGAAGCTTGCAATTGGCTCATATGTAATGAATATTTGCCATCATCCTTTTATTTACCTCCGAGACCTGTTTATTTAGGAACAAATCAAAGAATTCAAAGTAGCGTTTTTTGAGCCAATACAGGCTACTTCTCACGCCAGGATTCCAGTTTATGGGGTAAGTCCCTCGCTGGGGCTCGGGCCTTTGGCGAGGGACTTTGTTAAGTTTGTACGTCATCACTCATGACCAAGGATGCGGGTGTGAGTATGAGTGTACCCATCCCATACCCACTTTCGAACGTTTTCGCCCCGTGGCTGAGTACCCGTTTTCTATCTTTGGGCAACTGAGTCGTACAGCCTAGATGTGTAACTCACATCTGGGACTGTATGAGTCTATCATACTCAAGTGCGCCCCCCCAATCTGCGCCCCATACTCACATATAACCAAAGAGAGCGCGCACTTGTTTGGATGAGTAACTCAGCCAAACAAGGTGGACTAGGATATGATATCCTCTCGATCATATCCTAGTACCCCTTTTCCACACCACAACACCCTTTCCCTCACGCCCACCTCTTCGAACTCCTCCCGACCTTCATCTGGAAGCCCAATCAGGCAGATATTTGGCCAGTGAATGACCATACACCCAACGGTGTGGCTTCAATATTCCTACCACGAACGATCTAGATTGGGATCTATCCTTCCATGGCTCAGCACGATGGCCACCTCGCGATGTGGCTACCCGCTCTCACGTGGGTCAATTCCGATCTAATGAAGAACTTCGGCGCCCTGGAGTGGACTTTCGATCCCAGGTGAGATATAAGAGCTTTCAATCTTTCTCTTCCCTTGTCTTTTTTCTTTCGATTCTCTCTCTAATTCGATTTCAATATTGATTACAAGCTACGTTCTTATCCTCTCTATCAATCTGTTCACCAGACCCACTCAGTATCTAGACATGCCTCGATTTGCATCCTTAACCCCTGCCAAGGTCACCTCACCCTACGCTCGTCGAGCTAACCACCAAAGCGGTCCTCCTACTAGCTTGACCTCGCCGCGTGTGACTTTGAGCTCACGTCCTACCTCAACCTCGCGTACAACCACGTCCTCGAATCGATTCACCAGTGGTTCAGTTTCAAACCCCGGGTCCCACGGTCCTAAGTCTGTTGTCGTCCAAGATGAAGGCGACGACATGGAAGACTTGTACCCGACTCTTAGGCACCGTTCCGACGTGTATCTATACTTTGATGTGAGTATAGATGGTAATATGCTTTGGTTAATCTATACTCACATCGCTTTGATTGCCCTCACAGGAACCGAGGGCACACCAAGATGTGGGGAAAGGCGAGGTCACCAAGGTGTACCCCTGCCTACACTGCCCGTAAGTGTGCTTCTACTCTGGACTTCTCGATTGTGGGTATTCTGACCAAATCAATTTGACCTCGCGCTCAGTGCTGAGTGCTCGATCGCTGGGCGTCCTAATTCGAATCTTCACAAGCATCGCCAAATCTGCCCTGGATTACCTGCCGCTTGGTTCCGACGTGCTCCTGGAAGCATCCCTCCCGACGAGGACCCGGCGATTGCGGCAGCTCGCAAGAAAGAGCTGCGAACTTTGTTGATTGGCGCTGTTATCAGCAAAAACCTACTGTTCTCTGTGTTCGAGGGTGACTTGATGCAAGCGGCCCTCCGGGCTATCAGCCCGTCTTTCTATTGGCCTGGACGCTCGGGGGTCAAAGCAGACACTGAGGCCCTTTTCCTTGACTTGGAACGCCAACTCATCGAGGAGGTTTCTAATGTTCCCGGATTGGTCTCAACTGCGACCGACTGCTGGACCAGACCTGATTATTCTTACACTTACATGGCGATAAACGGTTTCTTCTTTAACGCAGAAGGCAAGTTCTGCAGAAGACTGCTGGCTTTCAAGGTGAGCGATTTTTTTTTTGTCTATTTGTTCTTTTGTTCTTTTGCTAATCTGTTTGTTTGTTCTTCTCCAGAAACTCGAGGGCAAACACACTGCCGAGAATCTTACCAAAGTGTATTTGGAGTCCCTCGAGCATGTTGGCATTCGAAACAACCACTTTTCCATTACCGCTGACAACGCCTCATCCAACCGAGCGATGGCCCGGCTGTTATCGGACCGATACGCTCGGAAAGGTGTGCATTGGCCCGCCGAATCGAGGTTTCATGGATGTCTTTGTCATGTGATCAATCTGGTGGCAAAGGATTTCCTCGATGGAATGGGGGAACTTACTGAGGCCGATGTGGAGGCCTTTGAAACGTCTGGCCTGGCCGATACCCAATGGTCTTTCGAACCCGAAGAGTTGCCATGGAACGACAAGGAGCCTGATGAAGAGCCCTCTGCGAGCCAAGAATCCAACGAGACCGCTGTCGATTCTCAAGGCAACCTTCAAGAGCCTCCAGTCGAAGAGCCCGATTATACTCAAGTTCACTTTGATCACCTCTTTGAAAATCAAGATCTTCAACAAACTCAAGAATCTCGATTGACTCAAGATGCTCCAGCTACTCAGGAATCACCTACTGTTTCAGCGTCCGTTCATCGCTTGAAAAGCACCGTTGTTAGCCGATTTCGCGCGTTGGATACGCACATCCGAAAAAGTCCTCAGGAGTTAGAGGCCTTTATTAACATTCGCAACAGCGTTGGTGATCCTACTGTCCTTCCTCTTAGCTGTCCGACTACTCGCTGGAACTACTTTTATTATGTTGTAAGTAGACAAAACTCTCTTTCCATCTTAATAAAACCCTTTCATCCACTTGATTTTAATTTCAGTACAAGCTTGACTGACTTTTCGATTTCTTTCTGATTATCTCTTCAGGTCAAGCGATCCCTCAAGTTGAGAAAATCATTGGAGCTCTACACCGCCGATCCGCGCCGTGCTAAACTTGCGATTTCCAAAACTGATTGGGCAACCATTGAATTCATGAAGTCAATTCTCTAAATGTTCGAGTCCGCCACGCAAATTTTCCAAGCAAACAAACCGACCAAACAAAGTGTTTTGCCAGTCCTCTGGGCCCTGCAAAAGGTCCTCCAGAAGAACGCAGCTGTCCCTGGCGCCTGGGGGCGAGCTGCCAAACGGGCCGAAGATAAACTAGTGAAGTATCTGTCTCGCGAAGAAAGCAATCACCAGACGCTTGTTTCAACCCTCCTCGAACCTGAATATCGAGATTTGCCATTTCGCCGTGATCCGAATCGCCTTGCTGTTGAAGTCTCCGCCAAGCGATGTCTTCGCGATGAGTTCGACCTCAGGAAAGGCGACCCTCCCGAATCTACCACCGCGGACCCAGCGCCATCGAACGCCCCCAAAAAGACCAAGAAGCCAGCTGTCAAGACTCTCAAAGACATCTATTCAATCTTGGGAACCACTTCAATGAATCCGACCAACTCCTCGGTTGACGACCTGGACGAGATTGATCGGTATTTCAGTGGTCGTCATCCTGCTCTACCCAATGAGACCATTGGACAGTATTGGACGGTGAGTGTCTTATTTATGAACCCTTCTTTCGCTTTGCATATAGTTGTACTGACTTGCTTTCACATGTTCAGCGCATGGGTAACACAGGTGCGCTCCCCATTTTAGCAGAGATTGCCCTTGAGCATCTCACCATTGCTGCTGCTTCGGCTTCGGTTGAGCGTGTGTTTTCCATATCTGGAAATATCACGGTCCCCTCCAGAGGTCGCCTCGACACCGAGGTCATTTGTCACTTAGTGTTAGTTAGGCACTGGCTTATGAATTATCAAGCTACCATCGATCTCGCTCCACCTCAAAGCAGTTCATTAGGGAACTAGTAATTCCATTTTTCCACTGGTTTTGTCATGCTATTTTGTTGTTTGCTTGATTTAACTATTGTCAAAGTCCTGTCCTGTCTTGTCTCCTTTGTTTGATCAAACAACACCAAATATCCCCTTGAAACGGTCTTCTCAATGCAACTAAACACGTAGTTATTGTCCGTACATTGCATCTGCAGTGTTTTCAGAGTTACGTAACTCATGAGTAATGAGTACTCATTCCAATTTACCTTGAGGATACTACTTGCTTGAAGTAGTATCCGCATGGAGTACTTGCCCGGAGTGAGTCCAGTTTGGACCATGGCACTTGTAGTCGGGTCTCACATGAGTCTCTATGACTTGAGCCCTAACCTGCCTGAATTTCGTTTGAGTACTACACTCATTCTCACTAAGCTGCCTTTGGGACTCACCTGGAGTGCCACCGACCCGGTGTCTACTAAACGAGTAGAGTAGTACTCATACCTGCATCCTTGCTCATGACCGACTCATCGATCTCAACCCCTCATCATCGCCTGCTCGATACCTCATCAACCCATTAACCCATCAACCCTCAATATCACCACATTGCCCAGTTTCCTTGTGGCTTTCCACAAGATCCTTCACTACATCTGGTCAGTCTCAATCCCAATCTTGATCTTCATTTTTCTTCTTTCTCATGCTGATGATATCGCTTTGATTTCAGTGTTCTTCCTTCACTGCAATGGCCTTTGTCTCTTACTCCGTCGATCTCAAAATGATTGTGATCCGCAAAAATCTACGCGGTGAAACACTTGAGAAAATTAATATTGATCTTGGGCTGACAGTCTCACCCGAGTCGTTGGATAGATGGCTCCTATTAGGGCGGTTCAAGTCAAGAGTTGCGATCCACCTGCTCGCAGAGTTGCAATCAGTCTTTTTAGGGTTGTCCGATCCTTAAAAATCCTGATCGCGCAGTTACGAACGCACTTAAATTTACGTTTTATGGCTTTGTATCTTCAGGTACACCGTCTCCCAATGCGCTTTTTTTGTTTCTTTTTTTAACGTGTCTTGTTTTTGTCAGGAATTTTTTTTTTCATCGATTTGTTTTAATGAAAAGATGTCTCCGAGGCACGACGAGAGACTTGTGAAGCGTTCAATCATGTAATTATGTAGTATAAGACAGATAAAATGACTTCTTTTTACCAGAGACCGTTAGGATCCAGGAACACCCAAAAGAAACCAAATGATAAAAAAAGTATTTTTTTGCCCTTCGCGCCTGATTTTTTTTCGATGCCACGGTGGAGATTTATAAATTTCAAGACAACTTAGCAGATCGCAAATTGGTGAACCACCTCTAAAGGTGGTTCACCAACTTTAATTTTTACTTATAATTTAAAGGCCCCAAACAAAACGTAAAACTTAAAAAAGGGCTGTAAAAGGGCTACTTGAACCACCCTAATGTATCATGAGACTCGCCGAGTCATCTCAAATCCAGAGTTTTATGAACCCATGGGTCGGCCAACTATCTTATCGGATCATCAGCGCAAGTTTATCAAAGATGTCATTGATGCCGAGCCAACCATGTATCTTGATGAGATTGCTCACCACCTTGCGATCGAAAGAGGCGTAGAAATCTGGATCCCTGCTTTAGCTCATGAAGTACGCAATCGTCTCGGTCTTACCTTGAAGGTAGCAAAAACCGTCCATCCAAATCAAGATCGTGGAGAACAAGACCAGTACCTATATGAAGCTGGAGGAATTGATCCAGCATGCTTTGTCTTTATTGGTATGTTTTTGTTCTTCTAACCTTTGTTTTCTTCAACTTTGATCTGACTTGTGTTTGGTTAGATGAAAGCTCTTTCCAAGCTCGTAGGCTTTACCGGCTTAAAGCTCGAGCACCGCGAGGTGAACGTACCCAACGCTTACCTCGAACTTTACAATCAAGAAGCTTCTCTTTACTCCCTGCAATCTCTTTGGATGGTTTAGTTGGGATGGTTGTTCTGGAGGGATCTGTTTGTCGAGATGATTTAGAACATTTTTTGTCACATCATGTGGTCAGTACTCCAATCAATCTATTCTAATGTTTAAACATGTACTGATGTGCTCTGTCTTTGATATCAGCTTCCAATGATGAACCCTTACCCCGCTGCATATAGTGTCCTTGTTATGGACAACGCACCGATTCACCATGGTGGTAATGTGCAGGACCTCTGTGATCAATTCGGTGTCCGTTTACTTTACTTACCTCCATACAGTCCTCCCTTCAATCCAATTGAAAAAGGATTTGATATCATCAAGGCTCTACTTCGAAGGAGTGGTGATCTTCAAGAAAACATGACCTTGGAAGAGGAAGCAGAGGTCATCTATCGACATGCCGCTGAAGCATTTACTCCTGAGCTCATCCATGGGCTCTATCGTGGTTCGATATATATTTGATTCAGTAAGTTCAACATCCGCTAGAATATGTTTTTAGCTTTGATCATCAATCATGAATCAATCGTTCACCATACAATTTGTTCCATCTACAGCTTCATATCAAATACCTCCACTAATTCAAGAAGATTGAAATTGGAATTAGTTTTAATCTAGCTAGGACACAAGAGTCTTCAAAAAAAGAGATCTGATCTCAAATGCTCGTATCAAAATCTATTCAAAGCTGAACCAAAGATGAAAACTGGAGGAAATTGTTGGTCAATTGTATCTAGGTTTATTTGAGAATAAAAAATTGTTGTGAATTTCTTTCAACTTCAGCTGTTCCACGATTGTACCTCCCTCTTAATGGAGGCATCTTTGTCACATTTGGATAGGGAGGTAAGCTCCTATTGAATTGAATTAGATTATGTCCATTATCATATACTATTCTTGGTGAGGATATGAAATATTGATGATTGAAAGCTCATATGATAATAATGAATTCCAACATGAGAGCCAATCATGGAATGATCAGCTCAAATTGAGTGATGTGAGATGATGATTCAGAACGAGAATTGTTCAAAGGATTCTCATTATTGGCTAAATCGGACTGTTTGATTATCGTAATTTCAACAATAAACTTGTTTTTTTGTCATTACAAACAGAGCCAACAGGACATTTTTGCGTTAAAAACACATGAGGAGATATAGAATCAGATTGTAACAGAGTCAAAGTAAATACAAACCACTACCAGCTATTGGAGAAGCTCACAATGAAAAACAAAAGAAAAAAAAACAGGTGATCAAAGAAGATCATGATTGTGATACACGGTCAAAGAAAGATAAAATGACCTGAAATGAATTAGAGCTTTTGTGCATCAAGCGCACACAGCTTGGCCATCAAGAAGCCTTCATATCTGACTGCACTAGCAAGGAGATGGCCGGCGTCACCTGGAGCAATGCCAATTTGTTTTAGTTCAGTGCTGTTCATGTCAACACTTGGTTTGAGATCACTCCAACGAGTATAATGAGCGCTGCTTAAACTCGTCCTAATGCCAACATCGGTTTCAGGAATCTCAGCATAGTTTAAAAAGGCGTTGATATCTCCCAAGTATTCTCTTTGATAGATACGATCATCTTGGGCTGGAGCTGGGTTAATCGATGGGATTTGCACTAAAGGTACTTGAGTAGACGCCATAAATCCTACTGGCAAGGGATTGTTTGGAAACTCCACATAGCCTGGAGGAGGTTTTCCATTGAGGAACGTCTTGAACGCTGGTGTTGGAGGAGGCTTGTGTAAGTCTACGTCTGTTCGACCTTCTCTTCGGGCTAATACCTGCAGGTTGTGATTCAGATCAGCAAGCGTTCAAACAGAGTGATGTTGGAAAATTTGACTTACAATTTCATCAACCCATATTCTACTTTTGAGAGGCGTTATCACTACCCATTTCTTGTTGTCTATAGGATCTTTGAATCGAGCCTGATCAGTACCCTCCTTACTAAGACTATCTTTCAAATCCGCAGTGATCTTTGAAGGCAGATTTTGAGATAAAGTTGAAGTGCTGGCTAGATTACTCGGTTGGCTATTGGCGATGGCTTTTCCAGTGTTCCACGAGCCAAGACAATTCCCAACTATTTCTTTCTTGCGTTGGGTAGCAACCTGGGCATCGGGATCAGTCATCTGAACAAGGAGTCCAGCAGAGCTAGGTTTATGGAGATGATCGGATAATGCTTTGAATGCGTTCCATTCATCGATTTCAAAAAGATTATACTTTTGGTTGCGGAAGTGAGATTGTGGTGTAAGACTGACACCAAACCAAGTAACAGACTGAGGTGCAAGTATGTTGATCAGATAAGTACCAAGGTTATGTTGTACTTTGTCAAGGGCTGCCACCATTTTGTTGATGACATCTTCAGGTGAAACTCGATTTAGATCAAAGGTGATTTGATGATTGGGTCCCATCTCTTTCTTGTCGGTTTTATCAAAGTTGCATCCTAAGTTTTCACGAGCTCCTCTTCTACCAATAGCTTTGCTAGTTGAACCACGAGACTTTTCCTTTGGGCCCCATAGATAGGCCTCATGGAAGACTTGAAGTGTGACCATCTTGATTGGCAACGCGTTTGTAGTTTGAGCAGGTATGATTCGATCATGAGAAACCGGATTAGCTGGGATAGGTTGTATTTGATTAGGGAGCTGGAATGGATTGGGTGAATTGTTCATGCGAGGTGCATCGTAGACATCATCTAAGTTCCAAAGTGGTGTATCGTTGGTTATAGATCCTGAACCGACTTGAAGGAGACCACAGTCAGGGTGATATTTGGGTTGAGCTTGAGCTCCGCATTGTCGAGGGTCGGCCAACGCACTGCTGAAGTTTCCAGTTCTTTCCCCGAGGTGAGGACCACGATGAGCTGGTCATGGAATAGATCAAATTAGTATGTATCCATCTCATAAAGCAAAAACAAAACAAGGACATTCACTAACCTTGACAATAGTTGTCCTCACCTTCAGCTGCTGCTTGCAAGAAGCTAGCACGTCGTGCATCCCGCACCTGATAGATCGAGTTTGCTGAAGATAGATGTCAAGGAAAGAGGAGGATCAAGGTCAGCGGTCTGAAAATCCAATGTGATGAGTGAGGATGCAAGAAATGACATACCTTGAGCTTGACTTCCCGCCATCAGATGCATTGCAGTCGGATTAGTGCGATTTTCCATATTGCGATGAGCTGGATTGACATGAATACGTTGTCGAAGGTTTGTGTGTTGATTGCTCAAGCGCGCTGAGGTAGAAATCTCGATCTTGATCTCGTTATCGTCATTGTTAGTAACCCCAATAGCTGAGATGTCTCGGTTGGAAGAAGTATTGTGATTCATTTTGAAGAGTGGTGACGATGAGAGGAATGGTATTGAATGGATGATTGGCAGAAAAACAAAGAGGATGAAAGATTGAGCCAAATATGAAAGAGAATCGATCTGAGTTGACTTGGTTTTGTGTTGGTTTGATCAGACTGATGATCGGTCTCACTCCAGTTGAGACCAATCAAAAGTCACAAGGAATTGGTTTCTTGACCAGTCAAGATTCCAGAATCCTTGCTCTATGATCTTGATTGATTGATAGTCGAGTTGATGGGTTAATGGGTTGATGAGGTATCGAGCAGGCGATGATGAGGGGTTGAGATCGATGAGTCGGTCATGAGTGATGACATATTGGAATTTGAAATTTGGGCCAGCCAAAAACCAAAAAGAGCCAACCCTAACAGCCGTTAAGTGCCAAAAAAAAATTAAAAAAGCAACCTTTTGAAGAACGGCTGTAACTAAGTCCCTCTCGGACAAATGATCGAGTAGTTGCGAGAGGGACTTAGACCTTATACCACCTCTTTGGCGGATGAGCCAGAAAAGTTTGGCTGGGCACATTTATAATCCTCCATATCTTTGTAGCCTGTATACAAATATCTTCTGGACCAAAGAAAGATCCTCTGCGCCTGATCATCCTACGCACACGTCTTTTCAAATCCCTCCCTTGCCGCCAGGAAAGCCCTTAAATCCAGACTTGAAGAATTGGTATTTGTGTAACATTTCAGTGTGTTTGGTGTGAGCTTTTGACAGGTTGTCAGCTTCCGGCCTGATTTTTGTATTTTTTGCAAACTTCACACTTGCATCGCTCTGTGGGTTTTGAATCAAATTCAAAGCAGGCTACACATAGGTGTGTAGATTAACCAGGCGTAGATGACTTCTCTTTGGTCCAGAGGACATTTGTTTACAGGCAACGGAGATATGGAGGATTGAAACCGTGCCCACCAAAACTTTTCCGGCTCATCCGCCAAAGATGTGGTATAAGGTATAAGTCCCTCTCTCGACTACTTGTTCGTCCGAGAGGGACTTAGTTAAGTTAGAGGGGGGGCCTCCACATCTGCAAGCTCTAGGCGGGGTCTCCACATCACGTGCAGATGCTTCCACGTGACCAATACAGAACAAGTTTGATCAAGATGATTCAAGAATCAAACCCAAACTCTGTCAATCCAGGTATTCACCTTCACCGTTCTGTACCCTTCAAATGGATCCCCTGCATGAATCTTCCATATCCCCTTTTGATTCACTTCCTCTGGATCCGTACATTTCAAACTCCACCTCTTCAGTCGTCAATCCACTGTCTTCTACCGTGATACCATCTACCGCACCAAACAAAAAAAATAACCTGAAGCCAAAGAATTGGACATCAATTGAAGACGTCAATCTCTGCAAAGCCTGGGTAGCAACATCTCTTGATCCCGACACAGGCGATTCACAAGAGAGGTTCACCTACTGGGGCTGCATCTTCAGCCACTTCAAGGAAGAAATCCAGGAAACCACCGGAGCCATCACTGCTCGAAATCAAGGAGCTTGCAAACGCCGTTGGGGAGTTATTTCACACGACATCAGCAAATTTTGTGCAGCTTTTGAACAAGCCACATCCACACACTTCACTGGCTGTGTACAGCTTGATTTGGTAAGCCTGTGTGGTATATACTTAATGTGTGGTGTCAAGATTTTGATATCCCTTTCTATATTAGCTTGAGATTGCTCACAAGGTCTACTCCGCCTCAAACGAGAATAAGTGTTTTGGTCTCAAACATTGCTGGGCTGTTCTCCGTGTCCATCAAAAGTGGACAATGAATTGTGATCAACTCAAGAATAAGGCTCAATCAAAGAAGAGAAAAAATGCTCCAGCATCTTCTTCCCATGTGGCGAGCTCTGATTCAACTTCTGCACCTCCAGCACCTTTGTTTTCATCTTCTGTTCTCACCAACTCCTCCAAAACCAAAGTAGAAATGAGAAAAAGACCAATCAGTCGCAAACGGGCCAAAGCGGATAAATTTGAAGGAGGATTGAAGCAAAAGGAGTCAGTTGGGGCAGGAGAGGAGATAGCTGCAGCCATCACCAAGCTTGCTAGTGTGTCCGCAGTCAAGCTGCAGATTGCGCAAGAAGCTGCTGCAGCTTCTCGTCAGGCATCTGATGACAAGCTAATGTTCCAAACTCCGCCCGAGGATTTCAATGAAATCCAATTGGAATACTTGAATGCCCGGCGAAAACAACTCATGGAACGATTTCGAGCTGAACAGGGTGTACGTATTTTATTAAAGTTTTTGACTGCTTGGCCATTAAATTGATCTTTTGGTTTGTTTTGACCATATCAGATTGCCTTACTAAATGCTGATGTAGTCAAAAACAAGAATTGAAACATCTAGTAGATGTCAGTACTTTTAAGTGACTTATAAAAAATACTCGCGAGTTGTTTTATCCTTTTTTATAACAACGTCAGAATACACTACACGGACCAAATATCTTTGAAAAAGCTTGAAATATTGATTTTTTAAAACTATGAAATTAAATGGTTTCTTTATGTTATGTGTGATTGACTTATTCATGATCAATATGTTTCTCAAGTGTCTCTCAAGTTGTAATTAAAAAAATGGTTCCTTTATGTTGTTCTCAACCTCGCAGTTTGAAAGCTCAATTCACTGCCATTTTTACTGTCAATCAACTTTTGAAATCAATTGTTTCACATTTGATTTTACCTTTGCAGGTACAAATTCAATCAATTGAGAATAAAAACTAAACAAGAATGAAAACCGGGCAATTGCTCAATTTTGATAAAATGATCACAACTAACTTACTTAAACAACTGATTAAAGATCATTGATGATAAAGAAATCATTGATGATGAAGAAATTTGATGATCTTTCAAATATCATTGAGAAAATAATAATAAAAACTTATACAAAAGACATCAATCATTAATTTGAGAAAGTATTAAAAACTATCCTTCTTGTTTGCCTGACTGAGTCCAAACATGTTCAATCAAATTGCGCAAGAGGGCTCTGTGTCGATGTTTATCACACATTGAACGAAGTCGGTCAATGTAGAGTTGAAATTGAGCATAAGAGTCACGAGTTGGTTTGGGTGCAGGTCTTGCGTCGTCAAGGTAAGCAGGAATTTCACGTTCCACACGCCCAGCAAGTCGGTTTTGTTCGATTTGCATATTGTGCAAGATCACAGCACAGTACACTATTTGCTGCAAGCCGGCTGTGTCCCAAAGCCTCACAGGACAGTTGAGAATTCCAAATCTTGCAAATAGAATTGCAAAGGTGCGCTCAGCGTCTTTTTTTATGGCCTCCTGGAGCTTAGAAAACAACTACAGAGTCTAAGTCAGCTACCCTACATAGCTTGCAATTAAAATAAAATTAATTGTAACATACTTTTTCTTTTTGATTGCCTTTTGGGACACTTTTGATTAAATTTTTTCAATCAGGATAAATTCCATCAGCTAAATAATAACCTTGTTGATAAATGTTGCCATTGATTGTAAATTCTACCTCAGGAGCTTTTCCTTCCATTAGATTGCGGAAGAGAGGAGAACGGCCAAGCACACTGATATCATTGAGGGTTCCCGGAAGTTCAAAAAAAACATGCCATATCCAGGTATCGTATGAAGAGACCACTTCCAAGACCATGCTTGGAACCTTCTCTTTGCCTCAATATTGACCATGCCAAGCCGTTGGGCAGTTCTTCCCCTGCCAGTGGGTGCAATCGATTGATCCTAACATACCCGGAAGGCCACGATCCCCAGCTTCATTCAGCCACTTCTGAGTGTCTTCAACAGTTGGTGGTCGCAGGTATTCTTTGCTGTATAGCTGAACAACATCATGACAAAAATGTTTAAGAGATTCCAGTGCTGTAGACTCGCCAATCTGGATGTATTTGTCCTGATATTTGGCGGAAATTCCAGTAGCCATCTGTCGCATCGCAGCCGTGATCTTTTGGTGAGGAGATAACCCGAGACGTTTGGCAGCATCAAACTTCTGAATCCAATAGTGGTTGTGGTCTTGAAGATCAACCAGAAGCCTTTCAACTATGACACAATCTACTTGATACCTTCTTCGGAACTGATGGTCGGTGTAAGAATGATTCGGCAAAAAATACTGTCTGTAGATGATCTTGTGTGCAAGCTGACAATGTCGGTGTATTTGTTGACGTGGTTCCTTCTCTTCAGGAAGGTCTTCTTGCATTTGGAACTAATGAGCAGCTACTTGCGCTGCAGCCACGTCAATGTCATCATCATCAAAGAGGTTGTCATGAAAAGCAATGAGCTCGTTGGGATTCATCATCAAGTGTTTGATTGGGTTGCTCTATGTAGACGGGACAAGCGTCAATGGGGTGATTGAGTATAAGCATTCTCATATCACTCAATCGAGGTTTGACCCCCGACTATAGGTGGACCACTGTGCAATGTTATTTTTTTGACCCCCTACATCCAAAAATCAGGATTGGGGGTCTGTTTCAAGACCTCACAGAATCGGGAGACCACTGGGGATGCTCTGATATCTTGCCAAACCCCATGATATGTTATGAACCCGTGAAAAATACCTTCTCCCTCCTTCTCCTCGCACAAAACAATCCCTCTTGTTCCAAACTACAGCCGTTTCAAGAAAAGTTGACAACTTTTTTTGGAGAAATTTGTCTCTGCAGCGGGTAAAACCAGAGAAAAAACTTGATTTACAGGTTTATTCTTTTCTGTATTCTTCCAATTAGCGGAGAGACAAGATTGGGTGAGGGACAAAACAGGACAAAACCCGGGTTTTGCACATTGGCGAGATTTTCAAAAAAAAATCAATCTTTGTTGAAACAGCTGTATTCTCTGGCGCCACTGCTTCACAAATCACTTTGATGTCACCTCCAAACCTCCATGCCAATTTATTATCTATGACACCTGAGATCACAGAGGTGATTCTCAAATGGGTCCTTAATATTCCTCCAATTCATCAAATTCATCAAAACCAACAGACAGATACCACTTGCAACCAACCTGACGAATGACCCCTTGAAAGATTTTGAAA